AAACCCTAAACCCTGAACCCTAGACCTTAAACCCTAAACCCCAAACCCTAGGCTTGCGCGCTGAGCCCTGGCTTTCGAAGCCTCAGGGTGCACGCCGGTCGCTCTCGCCGTACATGGTGGGGCCCCTACAGTCAAGCGTTTAGGGTTTAGGGTTTAGGGTTTAGGGTTTGGCTGTGTGAAATTTACCTTCTTTTGCTTTGGGGGCTAAACCTCTGCAGCAGCGGCAACGCCCGCTCTAAGCAAGAAGCCTGTTTGTCACTAAGTTCAATTTTGCGCTCCAGAGACGCGTCCCCTCGAGTCAACTCCGCCTGCACGCAAACCCTAAACCCTAAACCCTAAACCCTAAACCCTAAACCCTAAACCCTGAGCCCTACGCCCTAGGTTGGGCAGAGCCAAGCCCCTGGAGGGCCGCACTGCAATCTTTGGCGCAAGCTGGCAACCGTCTTTCTTTCTGTGCGCCATCCAAATGGTTTAGGGTTTAGGGTTTAGGGTTTAGGGTTTGGGCCTTGCCTGGAGGGAGCGGAACTCCTTGAGCCAGCTGTAAACCGCCTCCGCGGGTTTGCCAGCCCTCAGCAGCAAAACTCCGTAAACCCTAAAGAGTTCGGAGGAGTCTGAGATGTTTTGAGTTAAGAAGTGGAGGCAGCTGAGGGTTTGGCGCAAAATCCCAGCAGCAACCCCCTGCTGCTGCTGCTGCTGCTGCTGCTGCTGCTGCTGGGGTGTACAAACACCCTCCCGCTCCAACTTGAACAAAACCAACTCCTCCAAAAAGGAATAGATCCAGGGGTCAATGTGCGACTTCTGCAGGGTGCCACAGCGCACGCGGAAGGGTTTAGAGTTTAGGGTTTAGGGTTTAGGGTTTAGGGTCTACGGTTTAGGCTTCACGCCGCAGCGGCTGGTGCTGAAAGGGGCCAGGGCTGGACTAGTCTTAACACAGGGTGCCTAGGGCTAGGCCCTATGCAGCACAGGTTGACTGCAGCAAACCCTAAACCCTAAACCCTAAACCCTAAACCCTAAACCCTAAACCCTATGCGCTTTCATGCGGGGGCGTTTACTCACTGCCCGGGCCCCCTTGAACCCCGAACCCCCAGCAGCCGCTGCTAAACCCTAAGCCCTGCGGAGCCTCTGGGCGGGTCGCTGGGGGGCGAGGGTTTAGGGTTTAGGGTTTAGGGTTTGGCTGACTGCGTTGATTTCGACGAGGGCCCGCAGCCCGCGAGCTATGGCCTGCACATCTCTTAGACGAACTGATATCGAAATTAGGGTTTCCCAAACCCTCCAGTTTTCCCTGCGGTGTTTCGTGGCCTCCAGAATGCACTGCTGCGCGGCTTGCCACGCCTCGCGCTGCGCCGCAAACCCTAAACCCTAAACCCTAAACCCTAAACCCTAAACCCTGCGGGCAGCACTGGGAAGCGCGGCAGAGTTCCTTCTGCGAGTGCAGCAAGACGCGGCGCCTGGCCGCGGCCCGCCTGGCAGCGCGCACTACGTTCTGGGGCCTAGGGTTTAGGGTTTAGGGTTTAGGGTTTAGGACTTTGCAGTGAACTGCTGCGAGGTTCGCCCAGGCGTCCCCCTCTTGGGGCTCGATGGCCACAACGCGGGCGAAGGCCAAACGGGCTTCGTCGAATTGCTGCAGCTGCATGCAGCAGCAGCCAAGAGAAAACCAAGTTGCTGCATGCAAACAGTTTGCTGCTGCAGCTTGCTGCAGCGCAGCAGCAGCAGCAGCAAAGCGACCCCGAGACAGCTCCAGGCGCCCGAGGCCACGCTGCGCCCGCGCGTACCGCCGCCGCGACAGGTCCCTGCACACCACACCGCAAACCCTAAACCCTAAACCCTAAACCCTACACCCTAAACCCTAAACCCTCGCGCGAGGCTTCACACGAGCAAGACCCAACAGCCAGCAAGGTGTGCTCGGCTGGGGAACTTGCAACGGCCGGCGTCGGTGCAGTTAAAACCCTAAACCCTGAACCATAAACCCTAAACCCTAAACCCTAAACCCTAAACCCTAGAGCCAAACCCACCAGGCCTGGTTGTACAGGCTTTTCGCTCTTTCAGGGTTTTGCTGAACTTCCAAATCCGCCAAAGTGCACAAAAGATGAGGGGTGGGTCGAACCGCTATTTGCTTTTCCAGCTAAGCCGCACACATTCCAAACCCAACCCTAAACCCTAAACCCTAAACCCTAAACCCTAAACGCTGCACGGCTGCTTCAAGCGAAGAAAGGGTGCAGACTGCAAGGCCTAGGGAGACAGCCGCTCCATTATCAGTTTGAGATATTAGGCTTTAGGGTTTAGGAGTTGATGTTGAAAATTAGGGTTTAGGGTTTGATTTAAAATTAGGGTTTAGGGTTTGGAGTCTAGGGTTTACGAGATCGCGAGCATCTGCGCGGCGGTCTGCAGCAACAAGACAGTCAGCAGCTTCTTCCCACATCTGCAGCTCCGTGAACTTCTCAGCTGCCTGAAGTCCAAAACCCTAAACCCTAAACCCTAAACCCTAAACCCTAAACCCTTTAACCTAAGCCCCGTTTTGAGCTGCGGCTGCTGAGAAAGCCAAGTAGGCCAAACCCTAGAAATGCAACAAAACGTTTTTCTTGGATCCCCTAAACCCTTAACCCTAAACCCCAAACCCTAAATCCTTAACCCTAAACCCTAAACCCTAAATCCTTAACCCTAAACCCCAAACCCTCAGCAATATATCCCAAACCCTCAGGCTCACTGTGATAGTGGCTCCGATTCGCATCATCCGCATACCTGCAACAAACTACGGCGTCGCAGACCCTAAACCCTAAACCCTAAACCCTAGACCCTAAACTCTAAACCCTAAGCTTTAAACCCTTAATCGCGTCGCGCCTGAAGCTTGTCTCAGCCCATGCTTTAAGCAAACCCTCAGCCCAAAATCCCAAACCCCGAGCCCTCAACCCCAAACCCTAAACCCTAAACCCTAAACCCTAAACCCTGAAATATCTATTGTTCTTACCGACTTCCCGCTGCAGCTCCCACCAGCTATGGAGGTCCACCGCAAACAGCAGATTGAAGAGGCGGATGGGCGCAGGCGGGTCCGCGTCTGCCAGCGAAAGCCAAACCCTAAACCCTAAACCCTAAACCCTAAACTCCAAACCCTAAACCCTAAACCCTAAACGGTGTCCCAGACCGTGGAACCCGCTCTGGGGTCTGCAGGCGTCGTCAGCAAAGGCGTAGAGGGTTTGGGGGCTCGCTGCTCCGTGCGGCTGGCGCGGCGCGCAGGGTTTAGGGTTTAGGGTTTAGGGTTTACCGTCGAGCTGCTCCCTGAGGGCGTGCAGCTGCAGGCAAGCCCTCTCCACAGTTTTGCTGCGGTGAAACTCCGTGCTGCAGCGCAGCAGCAAAGCAGCAGAAAAGACGGCCCAGTCTGGGGCCAGCAGCAGCCCCTGGGCCTCAGCAGCAAACTCTGCAGGCTGCTGCTGCTGCAGCGCAGCCACCCGAGACGCGAAGTACGCCTTGCTGCTGCTGCTGCTGCTGCTGCTGCTGCTGCTGCTGCTGCTGGGGGACAGCGGGTCCGAGGAAGGCAGCACTAGCGCGCGAGACACCACAGCGCCAACCTCCTCCAGGGCCAGAGGGTCGTTGCCTGGGATTCCACAAACCCTAAACCCTAAACCCTAAACCCTAAACCCTAAACCCTGAACCCGAGGCCCTAAAGCTCGGCCGTAAGCTGCTGGGGTAGACTCGAAGCCTTCACCACCACAACAGAGATCACTGATTGCAGCACTGTGGCAGACTACCCCTCTAAACCCTAAACCCTAAACCCTAAACCCTTACACGGGCTGCTTTCTATAAGGGCTCTTGACTTAGCGAGGAGCAGCGCTTGCTCCACCACCCCCAGGGGCCGCTCAAAGGCATCCCAGTCAGCTCTGCAGCACAACCGCAAACCCTAAACCCTAAACCCTAAACCCTAAACCCTAAATGCCCAGCTTGTCCAAAAGCAAGGCGCTGGGGGCCCTATGGTTGGCCCCTTAGGGTTTAGAGTTTCAAACTGAGGCTGAGGGTTTTGCAGCACCGAAGCATCTCCCAGCAAAATTGAGTCTTCAGCCTAGGGTTTAGGGTTTAGGGTTTAGGGTTTAGGGTTTGCCAACCCCTCAGAAAGCTTGGGCCTCTCCATAATATCTGTATCTTCCCGCACATCTTCCAAACGCCACAACCGGCGTGGGAGGCCCCCCAATTCATTTGGGGGCCCCTCAGGGGCCTCTGAACCCTCTTCGGGGGCCCCCGGGGCCTCTGAACCCTCCTTGGGGGCCCCTGAACCCTCGTCGGGGGCCCCCGGGGCCTCTAAACCCTCCTTGGGGGCCCCTGGGGCCCCTGAACTCTCCGGGGGGGCCCCCAAACCCTCTTTGGGGGCCCCTAAACCCTCTTTGGGGGCCTCTAAATTCTCCTTGGGGGCCCCTAAACCCTCCTTGGGGGCCCCTGAAGACTGTTTGGGGGCCCCCACCAGCTCCTTGGGGGCCCCTGAGGAGTCTTTGGGGGCCCCGGAAGCTCCAAGGGAGGCCTCAGTGGTGGGGCGAACCTCATGCGCGGAGGGTTGCTGCTGCACGCCGCTGCTGCTGCTGCTGCTGCTGCTGCTGCTGCTGCTGGTTTTGCTGTGCCCCACGAAGGGGCCCTCCATAGTGGGCAGCTGCCTGGGCGCGGGGAGGAGGGGCCCCTCGGTGGGGTCCTGGGGGGCCCCTGCTGCTGCTTCGGGGGGGCCCCCGGGCGCCCCTGCTGCTGCTGCTGCTGCTGCTGCTGCTGCGGGGCCCCCCCTGGACCTTCTGGAGGCCCCCACAACCAGCTGCGGCAGCAGCTGCTGCTGGTACTTGCGGCGG